TAGCGTGGGCAGACGCGCGTGTCGCGCACCACGCCAGGAAAAGCACGATAATGATAGCCGGGACGCGTGTATAGTTATGGTCTTTCTCTCTCTGTCTCTGGGCCGAGCGACGAGTGACCGCGACCGTCTATATCCACCGCGTTATACCAGATATACGTGTACAATAATAGTCGCTAAATTGCCTCGAGACGCGCGTCCTTGCACATTGCAGTCCCCATCCGCGATTGCCTCTTGACTTTTAAACCCAGCGATGCAATATAGAGACTCGGGTGTACATTACGGCCGCGTTGAAATCGCCACTGCGCACTGTATGCAGCGTCGGTCAATTACGGAATGTGCGACGATGATGCTACTGACACTGCACTTTCGCTGCGAGCCACATTGCGCGCCGCGCGTTACCGCTACTGCATACAGTACGTACGTATGCACTGCTGCACGCGTCCATTCACGCGGCCGCATTTAGCCCATTCAGACGTATCTACCTTGGCAGCTCTCCTATGCTATGTCATGTTTTTTTTTTTTCATTTTAAGCGATGTGTCATTGGCATTTAGATATCTCAGTTTTTCCTTAGAAAATAAAGAATATTTATCGTTACTTTACGAAAAATTGGAGCAGCTGTACAAACTATTACGAAGCGCAGTTTCAATTCGGAAGATATCGCTTTTTATACAACTCGTAATAAGAATTAATGAATTTCCAACGTGCGACTTGAAGAAACAACCGAGCGATACGCCTTCGCACGGACGTATTACCATTTATGTTATTTATAATACACGTACTTCTGCGCATAAAAAAGAAGAAAAAGGTGCAAAATTATTTTATCCGCGCGCGGTATACTAGGCGTGTAAAGGACATGCGAATAGCTCGAGCGCATAAGTTTATTTGGCTTTAAAATGAAGAAACTCGCATGTATAATATAATGATAGGCTGACGTATAAAGGTATAGGAGAGCGGAGCAGATGGCGCAGCCCGTGATAATTGCGACATATCGGCTTGACGCTTTATTGGCCAGTGTCTGTGTGTGTGTATATTTGCGCGATATATGCATGCACACGAGAAGACCACTTATAGCGTACAGCAAAGCGTACATCAAATACGGCTCATGCTCTCTAGAGGTAGGTAATAATAATAAAAGGGCCCACCGGAGCCGAGCGGATATCAAGCGTCAAAGAGAAAGACGAGCAAAAGAGAGAGAGAGAGAGAGAGGTCGATTACTTGGGCCTTTAGGATTGGCCCGTCATCCTTGTATACACACACATAATACTGCTACTACCACTACCACTACACGGGTCCACCTGTTCGTTTTCCTTTTAGCCGCATGAGCGGGCGTAGCTATAGCTCGAGTCGTCCGTCCGTGCAAAACGACGTCGAACGTGTATTATGGTATCTCTGGCTCGGGGACGATGACGAGCGACCAACGCGACAAGGATGATTCCAAGGTTCATCAGCACTATATAGTAGGAAGGAAAAAAGACGCCCGGCTCGAGTCGGGCCATGACACGCGAGGCGTCGGGAAAAAGCAAATGGGATTCGCTCGAGTGGATCGTTGTGGCACGTATAGCAGCAGCTACATACACCAGCCCAGCTATTTTTCTTACTCGCGACGGACTGATATTCGCTGAACCGTGAAATACGTACCTGTACTGGCTCTGACTCTGTAGCTCCGTAGCTCTCCTCCTCTTATATGCTGCTGCGGCGTTGCACTTTGTCTTTTGCTTCCTACTATACGTATGTACGTTTGATCGGAGCGAGCGGAAACTGGATTAGATTGCGTACACGCTCGTTATTTCGCTCACACACGCATGAATGTACGAACGTATGTATATAAATGCAGTCGGCGCATCGTGCGATATTCTCCAGCGAAGAAAGAGACCCATAGCATATACCAGGAGCTCACCACTCGATGGATTATTTTCGTTTCAAGACTCGTGTATATGCAATATGTATACAAGATTTTTTTTAAACGAAACCAAGCGGCAGTCACAGCAACAGCAGCAGCAGCGGGTCGCTTTAAAAAGCTCGCGCGCATAAAACTTGATTGCGCCGCGGTAGCATAGTTACAGATGGTCCCCGCGCGCAGCGGAAGTTCAATCGTTTTCCGACTTACCACCAGCACCGACATTACTTGTGTGTATAGCTATGTATATAAACCGTAATCTCGATCGCGCGGATGTTTTGAATTCTCGACTTTTACCGCGCGTGCTACGTACACGCCAAAGAGACGAGTCGGTGCGAGTATAAACGAAACCGCAGCATCAACAGAAATTATCCTTTTTCCTCTGCTGCTGCTGGCGGCGATGCGCCGCCAGATTAAACAGTCATCTTCGTCATGTTTTTCGACGTCGACCCCAAGCTCTTACCTCTCATTATTATTTTTTCTCTCTCTCTTTTCCTCCGCGATGATTACGTTTATTTATCCATCCGTGTCCGCGCGGAGAGTGGCTCTCTGAGGTTTTTGCGGGAAAAGCCATCGGTCGCGCGAGACGTCCAAGAGACTATTTCTCACAGTCGACGCGATCGCCGATATATCGACGCAATGGACCATGTGGCGATCGCTTGTACAAGTACCAAGTACCTGTGCAATTATAGCTACGCTCGAAACTGAGATCCGAGCCGACCGGAGACGCATTGTTTTGACGAGCCAGAGCGACTCTCGGCTTATCGCAACGTTCACGGAACATCTGCGTAGAGGCACTTTGGTTTAAATATAAATATTACAAGCGACTGAGCGATGTAATGATTCACGCGCATTAAGAATTCGTATCCGAGTAGTCAAGTTGCAGCGGCACTCGACAAGCATCGTTTCAAGGATCGTCGATGTTTTATTTTTGAATTGAATTTAAAGCTGCTTCTCGCCCCCTGCGTGTATATCGGTGCTGGCACGTGGCTCTAAATGCCTTTTCGACGTAAATGCTTTGATTCTTCTAATGGATTTAAGATCGAATTTACAATCGATCGCGATCAAGGAGAAGAAGAGTGTCGTCGTGCGTTTGGCTCTCTTTTTCCGTAGGGCGTACGCATCGCATCAACGATGCAGCTAACTAGGCAACTTGTAAAATTGCGAGGACGATCATCGCTGCTGCATACGGTACATATAGCTATATCTACATGCGAGGTTGGCCTGCGAGCGCAGTCGAGCGCGGCTCTAATTACACCGACGGCGCGGGTGGCCTCTCTGCTACGCGTGCTCTCTTCTGTTAATGCTGCTGCTGTTGCATTGACTGCACGTACGGTAGACACGTCGAAGCGATGTACGTCGATGTAAGAAAAAAAAGGAGGAGGAGGAGGTGGAGGCCGAAGGACGAAAAGGGAAAAAATGTTTGGCCGGTCCCCAAGGGAGGCAAAAATACCTGTGAGTGCGCGCGCGAAACGAGACTCGATCGACGAGAAAGGAGAAAAAAAAAAGGAGAGAAACGAGCCAAGTTACAGTAGCTGCACGTAGCCTAGTACAGGTACGAGCGTACGAGAAGCGTCAAATAAAATCGACGCCGCGCCACGACCAGGTCGAGAGCTGCATCCAGTGCAGCTGCACACGCAACGGACTCGGAACTCGATGTACATATAGGCATAGGTATAAACGTACGAGAGCTGCACAATAGCTGCGTTCGTGCATCGCACAGCAGCAGACGTAGCCCGCGCGTTCATACGAGCTCGTGCAGTGTGCAGTTATATAGCTGGCGTAAGCCTATTGTAGACATAGGCACCGCGAGAGAGAGAGCGAAAAGCGAGCGAAGCCACGGCTCGCGCTGCAGTTACACGCTTCCGGCCTCTCCTCGCTTGCATCGCTTATATGCCGTGTGTACGCGCTTATTGTGTGTATACACGAGAGAGAGAGAGAGAGAGAGAACGAGAAAACAAGAGAGCGTGGCACATGTGCGATGAGAGATGCGTACCTATGCAACTCGCTGCTATATTGCAGCGAGAGTATATGGAAGAGAGAGTAGAGAGCGCGAGCTAAAAAAAAACGTAAGATGCAGCAAACGGAGCTAGCTCGTTGCGAGAGCTGTTCGTGGCGGTGCATCGGCGCGGGCAGGTGAATCGCGTGATCGTTATAGGCGCGCTTCTTTCGCACCGCTGTTACCGTGGCGTGCCGCGATCTGTTCGGCTCGTAACGTCGATGCAGCAGCAGACAGTCCACAGCTCATGAGTATAAACAAAGAGAGAAGATTAACGCCGTGGTCGCAGTGCAGCGCCTCCGTTAACACTCGCAGATGCAATTTTTATCTACCTATATTTTCGCGATCTTTTCGATTTTTACGCACGATCGGCTCGATTTATCTTCAAACCCTTGAGAACATTTTTTCAATGATACTGCTATAATGTCAAGCTAATGAATCATGTTCAATATAATGAAAAATATCGCTAAACTCACGCGTTAGTTCTCGTCCAGAAAACTGTTTACTACGAGATCACGCGTTATTATCTTCCTTATAAGTTTACGTAAATGATCCACGTTAAGAGCGCCGTTCATTCATGAAGAAAAGTTGTTTTCTTTCTGATCCCTGAAAAATTGAAATTTGTCTGTGCCAGTGGCATTCGCCATGAAGTTATTGCAGTTGTAACATGAAAATTGATCATGTCAAATTCTCCCATTGGAATCGCATCGTTCCAATAAAATTTATTTCTTTAAACCGATTTTTGAACTAGAAAATTTCATTTCGTTGTCAGTTTTCCAAATATTTAATTAAAGTAGAAATTCATCACTAGTCAAACTTCTGAAGAACGAAACTTATCGATACAATAGACTCGGAGAGAAAGTTACGCTACGCGAAAAGCGCAGGAAGAGCGCGACGTGTATGGGATCCTCGAGACGAGGCCCTTTGGCACCGCAATGCGTTTTAACCGCGCGCGTACGTCGACTTGCAATAAATTCCATATTATTCTAACTCATCTTATGCATGCATACTTGTTGTTCTTTTATACATAATACACGTCACATTAGCCACCGCAATTATGGCCAAAAACTAACGTACTCACGTCGATTATTTCTGTATCGCAGGTCTATCGACGATCGCCAGCGAGGGCCATCAATTGGACATCGAGCAGCAGCCACATCATGACGTCGAACTCGACGAGTTCACCTTCGGCTGCTACTTCTCGGCCGAGTATCAGGGCGAGTTCGTCATGCAGGTCAACAGTCCGTCGTCGAGCAACAGTGCCCAGCTCATGCAGCAGTCCCTCTCGGCCTTCATGGGCGAGCGCTCGAAGCTGCTGACCCCCAAGCAGCTCCTCCAGCAGCGCCAGCAGCAGCAGCAGCTGAGCAGCCTCGAGCCCGTCCAGTACGTCAGTCTGAACATCACCTTCAACGCCATACCCGTGTGGGGCTACTGCCACCGCAAGCTCCAGGACAAGGTGCTGCTGCGCGACCGACGCGGCGGCTACGGCGAGTGCATGCGCTGCTTCAGGCTGGTGCGCCGCGCCCGCAACATACTCCAGGTCTACTATCGCGACCTGGCCGTCTGCTACACCGACGAGGCCCGGGCCATCGAGTCGTGCGACCACCTCAACACCTCGGCCATTCTCTACCGTGAGTATAAAATCCAAAGTACTAATCTACCAAGTACTAATCTTTTCATCAGCTCGAAATCTAATGTTTTTGTTTTTGTGAATCATCAGGTACGAGCGAGGTCGGTGGCGAGAAGATACGCAACGAGTACTGCCCGATCGCCGGCAAGTATCGCTTCAAGTACACGGTCAACTACGACTACGAGCTGCTGCAGGAGAGCAACGAGCCCGAGAGCCGCGACGAGTGCGACGGCTTCACCTCGGAGCTCGACAACTGTCCGGACGGCTCGCAGCTCAAGCTGCGCTTCAACCGCTGCTCCTTCGAGGAGCACGAGGTGAGCCTCGACTGCCTGGCCAGCTGGCCCGTCGCCGACTCGGACGACGATTCCCAGCCCGGCCCGAGGAACAGCGACGCGCCCCGCTACGTGGCCCTGCTCGACAGTCGCGGCACCGGCACCGCCAGTAGCAGCAGCAGCGAGTTCGCCAGCGGCAAGAGGCGCCGGCCCCGTTACCGATGCGGCCTCTACCACGTGGACGGGCGCACCGGCAAGACCTACCTGTCGCTCAGCAGCGACTCCAGCTGCAGCCTCAATCTGCAGAACTCGACGTCGGGCTACGAGCGCCTCGTGCTCAGCAAGACGACCACCCAGAAGAAGATGCCGAGCTACGTCGTCAACAATCTCAGCACGTTTCCCCAGTGGGCCCAGGGCGAGTGGGAGGAGACCGTCATCGTCAACGGCACCATGACCTTCCAGGATCTCAACGGCTACAAGAGCTTCACCTTCGTCACCGTCGACTCGGACGAGGCTACGGGACGCTACATCGTATTTTCCCGCGACCAGTGGTGAGTAGCTCTCTCTCTATCTCTCTCTTTCTTCTCGGGTCCAACTGATTTAATAATTAATCCTTTTTGCTATTGCAGCGAACAAGAAGCATACGTCTGCCTGATCATGAAGCAGCGCAGCGAAAACGTGCTGGAATTCGTCGTGGGCACGGTGTCGTCGCCGGTCTACCAGCCGGCCCTCTGCAACGAGACGAATCTGCTGCTCGAGCGCCAGGGCGCCGTTTGGTGGACCCTGGCCAGACTCGAGCGCAACCACGAGTCACCCTGCCCCATAACCGGCGAGTACACCGGCCGCATCACCGACGTTCCCGGCATGTGCGCCGAGCTCAGCAGCAATTGCCACACGCGACAGCTCATGTACTACAAAGTCTACGATTGCGAGTCCGGCGAGCTTTACGAGGGTACGTCATATCTTCTCCGTAATGATAACTATAAGATTCGACCCCCTCTCCAACTAATGAAATCTTTTGTTCGTTTTCAGAGCGCACCTACGAGTGCCTGGGACAGTGGCTCGAGAACGGACTGACTTACAGCTACACCATGCGACAAGACACCCAAACGAACGAGTGCTTCGTCGGAGCGATCGTCAACGACGAGGAAATCTACATCAAGGAAGCTGGAGATTTTTGTGCACGCACCATCGATCCGCGTACCGAAGGCATGCGACTCTATCGTAAGGGCCTTTGTCTCGGCAACTCGTCCAGTCCGGCGCCGACGCCCATTACCTCGTCCACGACCCCGATATCGTCCTCGCCGTTCTCGTCGTCGTCGTCGCCCTCGTCGTCCTCCTCCTCGTCGGCTTCTCTCGTGCCGGTATCGGATCTGCCTCTCGCATCGGTCACGCTTTCCGACACGGAGCACCGACAGTCCTACCCTCCGCACTACGTCAACTCGATATCGAGTAGCAGTAGCAGTAGTAGTAGTAGTAGTAGTAGTAGTAGTAGTAGCAGCGTCGGTTCTGCGGAGCCACCGCCACCGCCTCCGAGAAACGGTGCCGGTGCCTACCCGACCCACAGGTTTCGGCCGGGTTACTTGCCTTCTTCCACTACCAGTAGGACGACGCATAGAGCCACGACTACGGCCGTTAAAGCGGATCGATTTCCGAACTCGGCCGCGAGTCAACCCAACAAAATGGTCCTTTGGATTCTTGCCACGACTTTTTGGGCGATTTCGCTCGCGTGAGCTTGAAGCATTGGCTTTTTTTATATAGTATTAAATTTATATATAGATATTTACATACACTTTTGTACGGTATACACAATCGACAAGTCCAGGCGAAACGAATGACGATTGACGAATGAATGATCACAAACGCGAATGAATGTGTGCTTGCTTCTATTTTTTATTTTTAATACGTTGAATGCTTGATTTTATTTTTGAATGTGACGTTTATTTATCAAGACTCTCGACTTCATTTGTACATACGCTTCAGATCATTATTTAGAGATTTATATTATACATACATAGATATAAATATATACTTTTTTATACGTGTAAAAAATAGAATATATATTATAATGTATTCTGAAATAAAACTCGATTCTTCTAATATGTACAGATTACTTTATTTTCATTGTCACAGATGCAGATCAAATTATGAAATTCAATTAATCTCCAATCCAATCCACTGTATTTAAAAAATAGTCGGTATTAGCATTTTTTACTTCTCGTGAGAAGTAAAGTTTTTTTTATTGTAATCATAACAAATACACTTACAGATTTTTCATTACAAAATAAAGAAAAACATTTGTAGAAAACAAATATTCATTTTGGTTTCACAAGTATTACAGCCAAGAATAACGAAACAACTTACTTCAGACGTTTGGCTTTTTTTAAAAAGAATTGATAATAAAACATTTCGAAGGCGCTTACTTTATTATATTACAAAATTCACTGTTTGTAAAGACACTTTAAATGCATTGACAAAAATACTATCTATTACCATATGAAAAGAGAAAATTCATTACCAAAAATTATTTTTAACTGGTATAAAAAATATACTATAATAGTTTTTGGCACATATTTGCCAGTTAAAGATGCAAATTAATAAACACTGTACAAAATAACGTATAATACAAAAAATTAACTCAAGTCTTATAATTATACTGATGGCACCAGGTACGAAATCTATTAAAAACGTTCAACAGCATCGTTAGCTAACTAAACGATTTACTTATATCCTTCCAATATCTTATATTCTACAAAAAAATGAGAAAAATTATTTGTTAAAACGAAAAAGGATTGTAAACTCATGAAATGAAGAAAATTTACCGAACAACATGAGGTCTTATTTTAGATGGATCTGCATTAACATTTAATCGCATGAAAACTCCTCGACCTTTTGCATCGTATAGCAAATCTTTCCACATAGGATCTCTCTGAAGAAAATAATCAAATTAAAATCTGGTATCAAACTTTGGTTAACTTAACATGTACAAATAACCATTACCTCAAAAGTTGTGAAATTTCCGCATATGATCAAAGAATGTTTCGCTCTGGTAAGTGCTACGCATAATCTTTGGTGATCCGACATAAATCCAATTCCACTACTTCTAACACAAGACATAATTATCAAGTCTCTTTCTTGGCCTTGAAAACTATCAATAGTATTACATTCAATCTCAAACTTGTTTTTCGTATTATCTTCAACTCCTCTGATTCTGAAAAATGATATAAATCGTTAAATAAATGATTGTCAGAGTAAGCATTATTTTTTGACTCATATTGTGACTGCTCACGTGTTATCTATTTTGGTGTTGATTAATTTTTTTTGATTTTGATAGGGTGTTATTATTCCTATACTAATTTTTCCTTTCCAAGCTTCATGTTTTCCATACATCATCAAACACTTTATCAGTCGAGCAATGAAAACAGCTTCACTTGTATTGGAAAATTTAACATCATCTTGAAACCCATCAATGTTTAATACGCGATATGCGTGGAATGGAAACTTTTGATTATAATTAGTAGAATTTTCCAGTTTTCCTTTATAAAAGTATTTGTTCGGCCAGTGAGAAATTGCGCTAACCATTCGATATTGTAAATTTAGCATTATCACAGGATTCTTATAATTTGGATTATCATCTTTTACTTGGGGCTCTAGAGCTTCTTTGGTTCTTGTAAACAGTGATCGATCCAAACCAAGTTTTTTAGCTTCCTAATTAAATATAAAAAGTATAACAATATTAACAAGTAATTTTTCATTTAAACTAATATTGCATAAAGCACTTTAAAACTCACTGTTGACATGACTGTCGCCGGCAGTTGATTGGGGTCGCCAACAAGGATAAGACTTTTCACGCCCAACATTAAAGGAATAAGATTTTCGGCTTCACAGGACTGAGTCGCTTCGTCAACTATACAAGTAGCAATTTTATCGGGAGAATTTCCTCCAAAAAGCGTCTCCATCAAACCAGAATAACAAGAAGACAATGTGCAGGCAATAATATCTGCTCCTTTTAGAATACGGACTTTACTCATTTGCAATGCTTTGGACATCTCTACAGCTTCTTTATTCTGAAAATTAAATTTTATATTTTAAAACAAATTACTTCAAATTTTTTTTATATAACAATTATGAAACATACGGGATTTTTACGGCATAGCCGATCAAGCTCTCCTTGGAACTTTTTAAGATCTTTTAAATAAATTTGATTACGTAAATCACCTTGAATTAACTTTTCCAGTGCTTCAATTTTTTCGGACAACTGATGTTTCTGAAAATAAACTTAAAATTAAGAAAATTCAAAAAATTTTTTAAGAAAAAAGACCATTCATTTTTCTTACTTTTTTTTCAACTTCTTCCAGATTTTTTTGGCGACCTTGGTTTGTTGTGTTTTGGACATCTTTTTTAGCTAATTCTGTGATGGAAATTTTTTTCACTTCGGTATGCATAACTTCCGCTCTTCCAATTCTAACCATTCGAAATTTATGTTCTATAAATGAAAATTTTATTATTTTTATAAAAATTAAAATAATGAAAATTTTAATTTTAATTTTAATTGAAATTGCACCTCCTATTCTTTGCCTTATATTTAGTAATCGTAAAACAAGTTCATCCACAGCGGCGTTGGATGGAGCACATAACAAAATTCTTAGGGGTTTCCCATTGACATATCTGCCATCTCCATAGAGGATTTGCATCACCAAATTAGAGATTACTTTTGATTTACCTGTACCTGTGAATTTATTAAAAATAATTTTAAAAAATATTTCGAATTACAGACATTCACTTCGATACTGTTAAATAACCGTTTCATCGGATTTTTAAAACTAATTGCATTTAAGAAAAATCGCTCACCTGGAGGTCCTACTAAAAGACAAATTTTAGGCTCTTTGTTAATAGATGAATTTGTAAATTTAATTACGGCTTCTGTTTGCTTATCATTCAATTTTTCCTACAGTTAAAAAAAACGAATATGTAAATTGTATTCTATTTATTTACAAATTTAAATAAAATACCTTAGTCATAAGATCATAGTGACGAATTTGTTCCGTAGTTACAGTAGCTAATTGGAATTCATCAATTTCAACATTCAAAATCAAATCTTGAAGAGCAGAATGAGGCACATATTGTAGGCCTTGAATTAAGCGAAGATGAGGTCTGAGATATAATATGCTTCGTATTCTTGATATTTGATCCATTTGGATGGCATTTTGATCTATCAAGCGAGTTTGCACCACGTATGTCATGTGGAAATCAGGCTTTTTACAGTATCTACCTATACTCAATTGAAATATTAAATAATCTATCATCGTTGTTAAAATAAAAAATTAAAATATATTTTTACTTAGTTTTTCATTAATTCTTGAATATTTTGCTGGATTTTGTTGTTGCACTTCTGTGACATAGCCAAATAATCTTTTGAATTTAGTATTCCTTGAAGAGTTTTGGGCTGTACTAAATTCTAATATAATCATATCTCCATAAAGAGGAAGAGTTTGCTGCATTAATTCCTGCTTGGTTACAAGAGCTTGTACGTTAATTTCTGTATATCTCAAGCCATTGGGTGTTTGCATTTGTCGAATATCACCCCGACTAATTTGACAAAATACTGCAGTAGATGTAACAAATCTAAAATATAAATAAAAAAATGTAAAAATTACAACTTCAAGTTTATAGGTATCAACCGTATTACCTTGTTCCAGTACACTCATATTCTTTTGTTAGTTGCTGCCAAGTTTCTAAAAGTAGAAGGGATTCCATTTTCTTATAATAATGATCAAAACTTAAGAAAGTATTTGGTAAATTTTCTAGCTGTGTAAAATCAATTATTGGAGGAGGGCTAGTCTTTACTGTCTGTTGTTGCTCCAACCAAACAGGTTCCCAAGAAAAAATTCTTGCTAGAAAATCTTCAATTTTCAAGTGTAAAACTTTAGGAATTTTAATGATTTTTTTAGTACTTCGAAGACTTTTTCCATCCTTAATATTTCTTAAATTATTTCCTTCGATAATAGAAAATTCTCTAACGTCAGCAATATTTTCTTTAAACGACACAATTTTTTTTGTTTTTGTAGTAATTGTACTTTCTGATGGCTCTGATATTGGTGAAGTTGATCCACAATTATTAGTATCCGAAGAGACTGGTTCATGATTTATATTGTTGGAGGTATTAGTTAATACTGTAGAAGAAACACAATTATTTTGTAATTCATCTCCTTGAATATCTAATTTATCTCTTGCTGGAGGTGCTTGCACATCTAATGTTAGCTCTGTCTGAGAAACTCTGTCAGTAGTTATGGAAGAGTGATTTATTTCAGTACTGTCTTCACTAGGAACTAGTGGGATTGGTACTTGTCTGCGGGGTATAATATATGTTGCTAAAGATGATGATCCAATAGTTGGTTTTTTTGTTTCAGGTTTTTTAGGTTGACGAGCTTTTGTTTCCAGTTTTTGCATTGAATCACACAGCATATCTCCACGGGTTTTAGTAGAAACTTTGACTTTAACAATTGTTGTTTTACACCTTGGTCTTCCCTGGTGCTCAGGAGTTGATTTTGTTTCATTTAAAACAGGTGCATTCTTATTATTTTCATCATAATTTTCAGTTTTATCAGTCTTTTTATTTTGTTTTAATTTGATATCACTAGGACATTCTGTTTTTTTAGAATTGCGAGTCTTTGAGTCTTTTCTTTTTTTTGAATCTTTAGATGAATGGACACGTTCTTCATCTTTACGGGTTCTACTTTTCAATGCACCTTCAGTTTTACTTTTAAGTTCTGTTTCCTTTTTACTTTTATCTGATTTTTTGTTACTTTTTTTAGGTTTCATATGATGTGGTTCAATTACTTCAACAGCTCTTTTTTTATTTTTAGAGGCTTTAAAACTTTTATCTTCTATTGTTTGTTCAGTGTGTAATTTTTCATTCGCTGCTGTCAAGTCATTTATCAGTTGTTGTACACTTGGATCCACATCTTTCAATACTGATGAATTAATCAATTGTGCATTACTTGAAGTGTCAATTTTGTTAAGACATGCAAAATGTGTATGAGCGTTTGAATATGTCTTACCATATTTAGAACTATTTTCCAATTTATCCAAATCATCAACTTCACTAAAAGAAACTGGACTAAATTGTTCTAAAATGGAAATATTAGAATGATCAACTTCAAAAGGAGTTGAAGTATTATTTGCAGATAAATTGTCCCTGCAATTATTAGGTACACCAGTGGTTGAACCATGACACATATCTGTGATATCTTCCATTCCAGGTATTCCATGAGATTCTATTCTCACTTGTAGTTGTTCTCCACATTCACTGTCACTACTATCTAAAATAGTTATACAATTTTCATCTTCATCATCATCATAATATGATGTCTGTGGTGGAGGATTATCAGCTTCTGCTTCTTTTTCATTTTCTTGCTTAACAATAGATCTGTCAAATAACTGAGAAGATGGGAAGAAACCATCATCATCATCATTAATTTCTACTACATCTTCTTGAGAAAATGTTCCCCAATAAATTTCCTGTTTAATGTTCATTGGAGTTTCTGCGTTATCAGGTTCCACTTTAATATTAGAATGATCTATTGTAGTAGTCTCAATATTAGTCGTCTTAATGTTTGAATGATTTGTTATTCCAGAATTGGTTTTTATACTTGAATTAGCTATTGTTTTAGAACTTGTATCACTATTTGAATCAATTGTTTTTGTGCAATCAGCATCAATATTAGACTGAGCTGTTTTTGAATCATTAACATTGAAAGTTTCTTTTTGTTGATTTTCATCTTCATTGTAATCCATGATTTCACTTTTAATTATTTGATTAGAACAGATGACTTCACCATTTAATACAGGATTTTTAATTTCTTCACTTTTCATTTGTACTGGCAGTGATGGTTTTTTGAATTCTGATTTACTTTTATTTTTTTCTTTTTCTGGATCTGTTTTTTCATGGTTTAAGCCTGAACTATTTCTATTTGATGACAATAGAGTTTTTCTTTTGTTCATGAGGTAATTTTTATCTTTTTTGTTTAAAATAATAGATTCAATAATCTTAGGAGGCTCTTTAATTTGTTTATTAGAACTGTGATCGCTTGAAGGTGTATCAACTTTCTCTCTACTTATAATGGTAACATTATTACTTTTCATACCATTAATCTTTTTGGTAGGATTAACATTTTGTAAATTGGATTTTTCACTATTTATAATTGATTTGGTTTCATGATTGTTTTTCTGTACACTATTTAATTTTGGTATTTCATTATCTTTTGTATGAGATACCATTAAAATATCATCATCATCATCTAAGTTTATGCAACTAATAGAGGCATTTGATTCAATTTTTGATACTTTGGCTGGCTTCTCATATTCAAAAGTGGTATTTAATCTTGAACGTTTTTTATTTATGCTTTTGAGTTCACAGCTATCAGATTCACTAATTTCACTGGCTTTCATGACAATCTGAAAATTTTATACTTTAGTTGTATTTGGATTTTATTAATATAAAACTGTGTTATAAATTTTACCCTTTTTATAATCCTGTATATAAACATGTCATTTCGTAAGTCATTACTCAATTCACAACCAATACTAACAATATCATTTTCTTTAAGTTGTGTTTCATTGTATGGTTTGACCTGAGAACCATTTATGTAGACTCCGTTAGAGCTCTGAAATATTTTATAAAATTTTATCAATTTGTGCAAATACTAGTTTAACATGATTACATTAGAATTAAACATAGAAAATATACCCCCAAGTCAGTAACATATAATGCATCTGGCAAATTGGTGAAAGTGCAGTGCCTTCTTGAGACAAGTAAACTTAAACAGACCAAGTCATTCTCTTTCATTCGGCCAACGTGAAACTGTCAAAAAAATTAGCAATACATAAATGAAATCTGCAATGATTTGTACAGGAAAAGATGTGTTTTATTGCTACTTACAAAGGGTTTTGATATTATAACTGTCTGCTTTTTATCACCAAGACGTTCGAGATGTGTTTCAACCCGCATTTTAAGGTTTCACAATAACAATTCACTAATTTAAACGATGTTAAATATTCATTAGTACTATGCCATTAGGGACAGCAAGTGCCAAAAAGAAATTGCAGTTGCGAATGTAAAATTACCTCTAAAACGCAAAAAAACAATAACCTATTCGATAATTCTGAGAGTAGCTAATGAATAGGTTGATTTGTCAACGGACAGTAAATGCTTATCACTGATCCATGCGTGTGCTCATTCAGTATTTGCTGGGCTATAACGTTCTTGCTGCAACAAACATTCAAAATTATCTAGCACTAACACATCCACATGTATATTCAAAGATGCACGTTATCTTCTCACAATGAAAGTACACTGCGGTCCGCGCAACACTACATTACTACAGATACTGCCAAGTACTGCGTATTGTGAGTTAAGTTACGAAAACATCTGCCGACTAGCCGGTTTTCGCGCTGTTTTCAGTTCATATTTGCAGGCGCACGCGCACCACCCGTAATGATCATTGATGAGAACGTATGAGAGCCGTTTACCTGTACAGTTGACAGGTTGTACCAATTTTGCAGTTTTTATTATAATTAATCCGCACGTATCAAGGATTATTTCAATGTGTCTCGCTATTCAATTTACTAATAACGTTGATTTTTTTCTTATTAAAAACGCTTTACAACTAAAGTGAAATTAAAAAAAAAAATTTCAACGGGTCATTTTTTTCGAGCATTGGTTCATTGCTCACTTCACTTAGCTGTTTGAAATAATTGCAACGAGTTCATAAATTGATCTGCAGGTTGAAAAAACCTGTGAGCGAGAAAAAGTAGAGCTTGTTACGACAAAATAAATAGATCAAGATTATCGATCGAAACTGGCACGTGCAAAGAATTTGACTATTGAAAAAAATAAGTTGAATGAAAGTAAATTAATAAATATTTCGTTGATGCATTTTATTTTATTTTGTAAGAGTGAAATTTTTTTACTTACAACAATCAGTTGACTCTTTACAAATTTCAAAGTTCACTTGTTTACCGTTTCTTTGACTACCTGCGTAGCTCAATTCAAACATTGCAACTATTTACTATAGGGCGTTTTCACAAAGCGTTACTGACGGTCAGGATTGAACAGCTGATTTGCCTGTAGGCACAACAAACCGAGTTTCCATATACTTTATATGTTAAGTCGATTAGTTTGACTGCAAATTACAAATAAATGAGATGCTCTAAAAATATATAAAAAATATGTCGATGTAGAGGAAGACTTCATCTTTTCATCTATCGAAGCGGATTTTACGATTTCTCTTTAGTTATTGCAAAAACAATTGTTGAAATTTAGGTCATTTCAGAGTCTAACTCGCTACTCAGCTGCTGTCAACACTGACTTGCGCGTGTCCGTGATTGTTTTAGCGATATTTGAAAATACATTTAAATATTAAAGCATGAGTATATTGCCTTTTTCGACTCAGTTCCCTTAATTCTTCAGAATTTCTATTATTTTTCGGCTTTCCTGTTGGTATACAAAAGAAGGAAAACTTTCCATTTTGGGAATTTGCTTTGCATCCTGTTACATAACACCTCAACACCATTTTTTATTTTATGATTGCAGATTGATAAAAAAAAAACGAAATCAAATCTCAAATATCGCTAAAACGATCACGGACACGCGCAACTCGGTGTTGACAGCAGCCGAGCAGCGAGTAAAACTCCGAAATAACCGAAATTTCAACAATTTTTTTTGTAATAACTAAAGAGAAATCGTAAAATCCGCTTCGATAGATGAAAAGATGAAGTCTTCCTCTACATAGACATATTTTTTATATATTTTTAGAGCATCTCATTTATTTGTAATTTGCAGTCAAACTAATCGACTTAACATATAAAGTGAATGGAAGCTCGGTTTGTTATGCCTACAGGCAAATCAGCTGTTCGAGCGAAGAGGTTAGTGACGGTCTCTGAAAACAGCCTATTGCGGCTTCTGTGAATTCAAAATTACGTAACGAAGAAAAATGTACGATTTCAAACGGTCAGGAAGGATTTGGAACTTGATAAGTGCTACGTTCTAATATGTATTCCCAATAGGTTTAACTGAATTTTCTCAAATGTTTTCAATTTGTTTACAATCATTTTTTGACGATATTGTGAATGCCATAAGGTTTTTATATTCGTGGTACTTTTTGGACACGTATTTAGTGCGAATACGAAGGGATGTCTGTAACATTTCGAAACGAGCACGCGTCAAACTGTCACAAATAAAGCTTAAAAGTTTGAATTTTGAAATATGAGTAGATAGCAAAGCACGAACTTGAGTTGGGCAAAATATGGCTCGGTCGCTGATTTAATCGGTTCGCGAGCATTAACATTTATCATTTACGGGCGTATTGGGGAGAGAGTCGCTTTTGCGATAATAATTGCCTGACTCGGGTACTCGCTCGCTCGCGCGCACGTGTACATATATAGACTTGGAGCTAGATTCGGTTTGTGCAGGCAGTCGATCAGCCGACATAGGAGACAGGATCGTGTTGTAATGCGGCTGCCAACGAGTTCAGACCAGTATCGTGCGTGCAGCAGCAGATTCACGGAAAGATACATATACAGAGCTTCCAATTCGACGCGACTCGTGTGTTTGTAAATAAACAAGTGACGGGGGTATATTACGGGACAGCCGCACCGCACGAGGCATAGTGCTGCGCGGAAGCGACGTTTAAAGCCAGTCCATCACGAGCCCGCAGGACAACAGCTCGCGACAGTCGCGACTCGCGCCAGCGTTAGATATTAGAGCGTGTATACGCGGTGTTGTACATACAGATAGAGCCGGCGCTGGCGCGATTCGCGCGAGTGGCGGGGCACATTCGTACACACCGGGGGCCACTGGGCGGCATGCGGACACCGTCGCTCAACACGCCATACACGTACATAGGCAGCAGCTATAATATACATTATATATAACGTAGAGACGTTGGACGACTCGACTCATTCGAGATCGACCGATGTATCGGGCGCGCGGCGAGGAGCACATGCAGCCGAGCAGAGAATCGAGAACGAGCTGCTCCATAGTTTACTGGCATATACTTAATAAGCACGCGTTATACTCGCGTCGTTGTGCATAGTGCTTCTGCCTTATTTTCATTAGACTCCGAGTGTCGTTGCATAAGCACGTCGATGTGTAATTTAAATAAATGTTGAAAAGTCGAGAGCGAGTTCCGTGTCATGTGGCTATGTGTGTATAGGTGCGCGTTGTTACTCGTTGGCGTTCGTGAAATCTCTCGGCCGTCGCTACACAGTCGTCGGCGGTCGCCGCGAGTCGTTTGACATTACCACGATGGCATCGGCATCGACGTGATCGCTCGAGCTGTAAATATACGAGTCGTTGACATGTCGGAGCTGCCGTTGCTGCATCGCGCGAGCCATCGACGCAGACGACGGAGGCGCCGGCCCAACTGTCTGCAGCTCATCGTTTGGCTCGCCGTCTTCGCCTTGGCCTTTCTGCTGACGCTCCTCGTCGTTTATCAGGATGACTTTATGGATTACTCCAGCCGGCGTCCTGTCGCCGCTTCGACTGCCAACGTGAGTTGACTGTTTCTTTCGCGGCTCGATCGACGGCCGCCCATCGGCCCACGTATACGGATGCTGCTCGATATTGTCTCACTTCGGGGAGCCATATATGTACCGATTTTAGAGTTATTATAGTGTTTGCCCAAGAGAAATTGTGGCTTGAGCTAAAGCGATAACGTACGTAGGGGAATACATGTTGCACACACGCTGGTATATCGTGGGAGAGATTTTTCGAGTGGCGCGCGCGAGCGAGCGCGTCCGCGCGATGAGCGATTAATGGAAGAGAGTCGGGATATATGCAATGTTCGGAGCTTTCTCTTGGGACGAGCGCCTTGTAACACACAAAGAGCTGTCATCGTCGCTCGCTCATAGTATCTGTATGCATTCGTTGCGCGCGGATGTTGCATTAGCAGCTTGACTCGGCATGACTAATCGGCGAATCATGTGCTTGATTACGCTTTGGTCGCAGCGCGACAGAGATTCACTGCTCGCGAAATTCGGCATAAATACTCCTCAGGCTGATAACCTTTCCGCTAATAATTAAATTTGCGTCTCGATTGGCGCGGCGCTCACGTGATCCTGTCCGTGACTCACCTGCGTGTTTTCAGACATTTAAGCGGGCCAATAAGAGGACCACAACATTTTTAAAGTTCTAGCTTCTCATTGTAATAAAACTATTTTTCGCTCCGAGTATTTTGGATATAATTTGACTTTTTGTTAGATAGATTTAAAGCACAGTTCGTTGACTCGATTGTTATTTAATCGCCACATAGAATTAGAAAGCTCTCGGGTTGCGAGAGCTGCTATTTTATCTATTCTTATCGAATCTTTGTTCAATATTGCTCGTCCGTAGGTACATTAGACGTAATTTATAAGGCGCTCGCCAACGTTCACAATAAATGAACACAATAAACTCATACAGCACGTAAACTTTTCGACGTTCATCGTGGCTAATAATATTTACCAAACTCATAAAGAGCAAAAATTATGCATTTACGTTTAGCCATAGGTAGATAAAGTAAAGCCGAGTATGTGGATGGAGCAGCATAGCTCGCTTGAGTCTCACTTGCACAATTTGATTTGCAACCTCTCGCTACATACAAAGCCTCTCGACGTTAACAACGCTAATTATGAGTTCATAATCGTAACTTTACAGCGTTGCGGCTTTACAATTTTTCCTTTATCGAAACGGCAAACGGCATTGGAGTATACATTACAAGTGCACTCGTAGCGTGTGCGAGCGTTTTTTATTGCACGCGAGTCTTGACTTTTTTTTCCTATAATCTGTATGCTTGATGTACGATGCGAGATAAATGCCGAATGTAATCCCCATGCACGATTACGTCCTCTTGTAGATGCAGCAGCAGCAGCAGGAGATAATATCGCTGGAACGAGTCGGCGCGACAGAACGAGACCAAGTTTGGCTAAAAAGTCGTCGGCTGCTGGCTAACCAGACGAGTCCTCTCGGCATGTGGCTTTTGTCGGAGGCCGACGGAACGAGGCCGCTTCCGCCAGCAAGAAATCCAAACAACGGCGACAAGCCTTTTCTCATCGTCGTTTGGAAGCAGGGAGAGTTTCTCGAGCGACGCCACATCAGGCGCTTCTCCGATAAATTGTAAGCGCATGCAACAATAATATATTAATACTATACCTACGTTCATTATGCTTATCAAAAGTACGTGGAATTTGATTTATCGTAAGTGAATACGTCTCGCTGTGGAAACAAGGGCTCGTAAATTTTTGCGCGCTTGTTTATCGAACATCGGTTGCAATTTTTAATCGGGCGATCGGTCTTAGTAATACGAGCTAGAAATCGTTCGGTGTCTTGACTGCTTACTAAGCGTTCAACGCCAACGAGTTGCTCCTTGTGCATTTATGGGCGCGCTTATCGCTATAAACCGATTGCCAATGGCATTTTTTTTCTTTTCAAAAAAAAAAAAAATTCGATCGAGAGCTAAGCTCATTTTAGCTCATTTTTTGTAATTTTAAGCGTACAGCTTATTTATCGCAACCAGTTAAATATACATCAATTTGAAAAATGTCAATAATAAAAGTAATATTTTTTTCTTGCAACCTCGGAAGGTTAACTATAATAAACGGAAAAATGCCGGATGGCAAAATTCCACCGAGCGTTAAATCGCTGCGGCACTAATCGCGTAAAGCAGAAGCTGTCTTGTAGCAGGTGTACATCGCAGCTAATTCGAAAGTGAAACGAAGGCACATCGCGCGGTAATCTCGTGTCACATAATGCGCGCCGCATCATTGGACGCATCCTTCGCATGCGGTATAGCACGAGGCGCGCTCCGTCTACGTCGCCCCAAGGACTTTTCGCGCTCGCGCGCGACAACAATTGCCCAACAGCTCGCTAGAATGCCTGATGATTGTGACGAACGATAACAGAGTTCCGTCTAATAAGTCATTCTCTCTCTCTCTCTTCGCATCTCGCGTAAGCACAGCTGCACAGCACGCGAGCCGATTCCACGGCGATTAAGTCATCGTCGGCGCGAAAGCAGAGAGTCGCACGAGGTCGGCGTCAGCTAGTAATAGCGAGAGATAGAGATGACGTCGCGTAACGCAAATCTCTCTCTTTTTTTTTCTTGTGTTTTTGTCGAATGCGATTGTGGCGTCCTGATACTGGACGCAGCATAAATGTATGGGTTAAGCTTAAAGACGTACTAAATGCCCTAATCTTATTGAGAGAGATTCAGAATAGTTTGGACAATACTCTTATAATAACATTTTATTTAATGGCTTACTGTTATAAATAGCAATGACAAAGATAAGCACGAGTTCGCCCATACCATCTTGGGTTGCATGTATTGGATATCCTCTGTCAATTCTCGGAGGACGCACGCTTAGCCAATTCCACACTCTATACTCGTGTACTGACTCTAGCACTGACGATATTTATGAATTCAACTTGCAAAGATACATTTTCGCGATTTTACAATAAGTTAAAGACTTTAAAAGTTATACTTAATAATTTTGCAATACTTGGATTGATCGAACAGAAGTAAACGTAGAGATAAGAGTCGGAATAAATCGTAAGGTCCTAGCAATGTATTCGCCGGAAGACCGAAGTATGAAGAGAGAGCCCAGAGCCGATCTGCCGGCTTCTTTTTATATCGCACGAGTTAATCTTTGCGTATCCGGATTATCCTCTGTTTTTTCCTTACATTCCGCTTACCTTTTTGCGAGATTTGGCTCTTGATATTTTATTGCGTAGCAGGGCCATTTGGCCGCGAGATTACGAAGTGTCACAAAAGTGCGTGCACGCGCGCCGGAGGATCATAAACGGTTATCGGAGATAATGAGTTGTGCTTTCTTTTCTCTTTCGTGGAAGTTAACATCTTCAAGAAGGAGATATTTGTTTATAGTTGCGCAATTCACGCAAATTAATCGTTTCAGTCACTCACCGTGGGAAAACTGCCCGGTGGACAACTGCGAGCTGAGCTACCGCGACGAGGACGTGGACAAGGCCGACGCCGTGCTGTTTCACCTGCAGCGCCTCGAGGGTCGCGCGTCCCTGCCCACGGAGCGCAGGCATCCCCGTCAGCGCTGGGTCTTCCTCACCGACGAGTCGCCTCTGCACACGTTCCCGAGCTCCCGCGGCTCGGCCGCCAATATCGCCGAGTACGACGGCCTCTTCAACTGGAGCATGAGCTACCGGCTGAGCAGCGACGTGCCCGTGCCGTACGGCCGTACCCGCCTCGACAGGAGCGGACGGCTGGACGAGGCCACCGTCTCGGCGCCGGGCGCCAAGAGCAAACTCGTGGCCATACTGGGCAGCAACTGCGCGGCCAGCGAGCGCTGGGAGTACGTGCGCGAGCTCCAGAGTCTGCTGCGGCCCGACGAGCTCGACGTGCTCGGGCGCTGCAACGGCGCCAACCGGACCGCCTGCCCGGGTCACTTCGAGACCGACTGCCCGGCCCTCGGCCGATACAAGTTCTACCTGGCCTTCGAGAACAGCCGCTGCCGCGAGTACCTCAGCGAGAAGACCTGGTGGCACGGTTTCGCCAAGGGAGCCGTGCCCGTCGTCATGGGGCCGGCGCGGAGCGAGCTCGAGCCGATCCTGCCGCCCGACTCGTTCATGCACGTCGACGATTTCGCCGGGCCCTCGTCGCTGGTCGATTACATGCGCTACTTGTCCAGCCAGCCCGGTGAAATCGAGCGACGCTTTCACGCCTGGCGCAAGAGGGGCTATCGAGTGCTACAAGAGCACGGCTACTTCGGCGCGCCGTCCCGCCACTACTGCCGGCTCTGCCACGCTCTCAACTTCAACGATCCTCGTCCCAAGGTTTATCTGAACATGCGAAAGCTCGGGGCCAACGATTGCGCCGCTAGTCCTCCGATCCTCAAGCACAACTAGTCCATTGCTCCTCTTTACTGTCGACAATTAGGTATGGAAAGTTGCGATGTTGCTTCAACGATCCGCGTTCGATGTCTGACCGACTTGAAATATTATTGGCCTATGCGTGAGCAATCTAATTATCAACTAGAGATTTCGATTTTTCCAAATCTCGCGTAATCGTAATAATATTTTACTTATTTTTTATTTTTAATTGTTTTTATTAGATTAGATTCGATACATTCGTACATTCAATACTTCGGAATGACTCGAGTTTTTACAAAAGAAATTCAACGAGGCTCATAAAATAATACCTGCTAGGGGCAGTATCGATCTTATACAAGTTTACATCTGAAAATCGTTTCGCATTCGAGCGACTCTCATATAGGCGACAAGTCGGTCACGCAACTACCTACAATTTTGTTCGCGCAGTCGCAAATAGCTCCGACAGACTCTACGATACAAACTTCGGTCGCGTAAATACTATGTAGACATCTCGCTAGCTCGGCCGTATATACGTATCGTGCGAAATAACCATCGCACGATTCAGACTATATCGAGCAATCGCAGCAGGTTGTCGCAGTTCTGCTATAAGCGACAGCTGCATTATATACGCGATAAGGATCGGTGTTGCGCGCTGTCATTGACTGGTGTCTGCTATCGGAGACTCCAGTCGCGCGCATGCTGCTCACTAAAGCAGCTCTCGTCCAGCAGTTGCTGCGATCGTCGTTTCGTCGCCCGTCGTATCCGCGAAGCATGGCTACCTCCTTCAACGGTAAGGTTGATCGATACGACGGTATCACGGTCGATTCCGCGATCGAACCCTGTCCATCGGCCGATGACTTTTCCAGCCGTCTTCGAGGTACAAATTTTATATATTTTTTCAATTCGAGCCTTCCAGCTTTTCTCTTTTTAATTGTTGCACCATTCGATGTATTATCTTCGCTTGCTTCTAGTATCGCTCGAAAATTGGATAGAGCAACAGAAACGGACTATTTGGTTCAGAGTGGACACGACTCATAGCCACTGGATACCCGAGCTCACTCGCAACGGCTTCAAGTTTCATCACGCCAAGGGTGACCTTGCTATGCTCTATCGCTGGCTACCCGCCAACGAGACCTGTAACGTGCCACCCTACGCTCACACCAATATTGGAGCTGGTGCTGTTGTGCTCAACGAGGCCAATCGCCAGATACTCGTGGTCAAAGAGCGACACGGACTCGCAACCAATCACTGGAAACTACCTGGAGGCTACGTCGAGCCTGGCGAGGACATTTGCGATGCAGCAGAGCGCGAGGTACGCGAAGAAACTGGAATCATAGCCAAGTTTAAGTGTCTTATCGCGTTTCGACATGTTCACTCCTATGCTTTTGGATGCTCCGATATATATTTCGTTAGCTGTCTTACCCCTCAAACTTTTGACATTACTCAGGGTAATCGAGAGATTAGTGAGTGTCAATGGATGAAGGTCAGTTTATAAAGTTTTGTTCATATTTTATTAAGCTTTATTCTTAAATTTTTGATTTTATTTCATTCAATTTCAGCTTGAAGATTTTATAGCTCATCCTCAAGTTCATGACAACAATCGTCAACTAGCAATCAAGGTTCAAGAGTATTTGCAAGATAAAAAAGCCATCACTATGAGCAAAGCCATACATCCTATTAGTGGGAAACGTCTATGTGTTTATGGTATTGCTGACACCAAAGATGATTAATATTATGTTATTTATGTTAGTTACCATTTTTTGTTGTATAAACAGGGCTCATTTTCACCAATTTGGTACTGTTTGTTACAATTATTGTCACATGCAGCAGCACAATTGTTTTATTATGAATTTTCACTTTTATAAGTTGTGAATAGTTCATTGAATATCTCTTTGTACATAGCGACACAAATTTTACATACCAAAGTGCCTAAAGATATCACGGTATATTATTGTGGATAATTATATTATTATTAATAATTGACAAACCTTTTTAATAATTCTCATAACCTAGAGAAATTTCATACTGTACATTTTGTCCAACAAGGCAGAGATGATAATCAAATGTAAATTGTATTATACTTTGTTGAAATGCTTTTTATAACTTGTTGATAGGTTTTTATTTATTTTAAATGTCAATGCAGTTGTGGTGGTAAAACTGGATTTTACCTAATAAATGATAAAACTAACTGAAGGCGTTTTATTATAGTAACTGTTTACAACCTGTTTTTTCTTCAGTTTGAAGTTAAGGATTATTCAAATTATTTTTTTCAATGTCTCAGTTCAAAATTTCAAGGAATCAAATTAGGTATTTGCTTATTTCATTATTCATTCCATTTTTGAAGGTAACAAGTAGTTAGAATATTTCTATTGTGAAACTTATTTACAGGAAGTATATTTTTTTGAAATTTTTATGAAAAGTAATTTTTATATGATAGCAAACACAAGTTTGTGTCACAAATTTTCTGATTTGCCTAAATGCTTCCTATTCACTTTTGTTTAAATATTTTTTCCTTCATATTAGACATTTTCATATATTATTGTAAAGATAGTAATTTTATTTAGAAAAATGAGAGGATTTTCCACTGAATAAAATACAAATAGAAGTCTATTTAAAATTTCATGAATTTTTATTTTTCTGTTGAAATAGAAGATTGTCAAAGTTATAAAACTTCAGCAGCAGATCGGCTTGATACAACACGATGGTTTTTTACCAAATGATCTGCATATTCCTGATAAGGTGTTTTTTGTAAAGGCATTTCTTTCCACAAGTCTGGAGTAAGATATGAGTAAGTTTTGGCAATGGCTGCATAAGTAGCCTTTGCAAAGTTACCCAAAGTACAAGTAGAACCTCGTGCGGATGTGTAACAGTCTTCAATTCCTGCCATCTGCAGCAATTTCTTGGGGACAGGAGCAGAAACGATACCAGTACCTCTTGGTGCAGGGATGAGACGCACCTGGACTGAACCACATTTACCAGTGACTTTGCAAGGTACTGTATGTGGTTTACCAATTTTGTTGCCCCAATACCCACGACGTACTGGAACAACAGACAGCTTAGCAAGGATTATAGCTCCACGAATGGCAGTTGCTACTTCCTTGGAGCACTTGACACCAAGTCCAATATGTCCATTGCTATCGCCAATAGCAACAAATGCCTTGAAAAAATCATTACAATTAAAATCAAAATTCATCAAGGCAAAGGATAGAAAGAAAATTAAATGTTTGTTAAAACTAATTACCTTAAAGCGAGTACGCTGACCAGCACGTGTTTGCTTTTGGACTGGCATTATCTTGAGTACTTCATCTTTAAGCGAAGTACCAATAAAAAAGTCAACAATCTCAAACTCTTTGATGGGCAAAGAGAAGAGATAGATCTCTTCTAAAGATGTAATTTTACCATCTTTTACAAGACGGCCGAGTTTGGTAACTGGCACCCATTCCTTGGCGTCTTCCTTGCCACGACCACGGCCGCGACCACGACCACGTCCGCGGCCTCCACGACCCCCGCGGTCACCCCCACGAGAACCAAAGCCTCCACGAAATCCACCACGAACGGCTGGAGCTGCGTCCGCCATTCTGCAAATAATCAATAATTCATTTTAGATTATGTTTAATGAAATCGTATTGATTCTTAAAGACAATTTGCACGTTTTGACTTAACCTTGCGTGTTACACGTGGCATGGTGTAAAAAGTGATTAATACAATAAATTATTAATAATATAAATATAAATATGCATAATGGAAGTTATTAGCTTATAATTATTTTCATAAGTTTAATGTAGATGTATATGCAGTGCATTAGTCGTATTGTATTCTTGAAGATAATTAAAAAGAAGTACTTACTTTATTTCAGATATATTCGATCTACTCGAAGAGAACCGAGCGAATGTAATGAGTGTTCGTTGTTGACATCAGAGCGTAGCTTTTGAGCGTCGCCATCTGCCGGTTGAAAAGTCACCAACATTCGCTTACCGCTAATTTTTGAAAATGTCTCGTCATTGTAAATCTCTTTATTATGGCTTCCTACTTCTAGACGACTCAAAATCTTAGGCAACTACATTTTTTTACAATGTGTGTTTTATTTTAATAATTAAGTGTTTCGCCGCTCTCTACAAAAACATTAAAGTTACAATTAATTTGGACCAAAAAATACTGTAATATATATGTCATCATAAACGGTTATTTCGGAGTTTTTACTCAAGAAAATTATGATGAATAGGGATGAGTGGGGTGTTTTGGCATGTGAGGTGAATTGTCAAAATGCCATATTTCTCCTTATTAATGACTTTTATCGAGATCATACTTTCAGTAGTCTTAACACTATAATATGTATTGTTTGTATGTAATGGCACCATCTCGGTTCAAGACAACCCAAGTAAAAAAATTTTATTAAGTTTTTATAAGATCGATTTTATAAAAATTTAATAAAATTTTTTTACTTGGGAATGATCAAGAGAAATATGCCACTTTGACAATTTACCTCACATGCCGACACTCCCCGGTTTCCTCTAATATATGTTCTTCGGGAAAAAATTAATTTGAGATTACTGCCACCTAAAACAATGACTGTTAAATTATATTTATATTTTCATTTATACTTATATATTTTTATATAATATAGCCAATTAAGCGGTAATAGTTTTCGTGAACACTATTGTAAGAAAAATACCCTTCGTTGGCACATTTTAAAGAGTAATTTTTTTGCTGATACAATATCGATCGAAACGTTATTGTTTTCGCGGTAAATTATTGAGTAATTGTTTTCGTAGGCAGCGCTAATTTATAGAGCAACAAAATTTAATATATGGGCTTATCCCAAAAACTTTTAATACCCTGCGTCCTTTTACATAATAATGATGCACTGCACTGAATATATTATAATTTTAGCTAACAAGTAGAAGGTATGCACAAGCAAGAGGTATGGGTAATTTCGAAAAAGGCGATTTTTGAATTACCGGACCCTTTTCTCGGCTGATATGGTACCTCAAATAAAATCACGAATTTACTCTTAAAGGTGAAGACTTTTCTACAGGGAACACGAAGAATAAAAGCTTTAAAGTCAAAATGTGAAACGGCAGCTTTCCAAAAAACAATTCAATTTTTGAAAAAATCTCAGCGCAAAGTTGTTTATAAAAATTAGAATTATGATCTAATCGAAAAATATAGATTGATCGATTGATGAAGGATTGAACTCATGTCAGAATCACGTGGTCACTGGTCAGTCAATTTAATTACAATATTATGAGAAAGTAATTTCAGTGCTTTGGTCCAGGCACAAGACCAGGTAGTAGCGACCCAATTTAATGCGCTGAAAAAGTGAACATTTCTCCGAAGTCGTTTTTAGGATAACCATTTCTCTGGAAGCTAGGAAACGGTGATATTAACTTATTTAGAAAGAGGCATAAGTTTTGCAAGTAGATATCATAGTTATTACCATGAATTAGATAATCATATTAGTTATCATGGTGGGCATGATGTGCGTAAATGATCCTGAATTTAGGACTCGGTTAAATTTTTATTTTGAAGGTCTCATGGCATGATAAATGAACACACCATATCTAGAAATGCATATAACTGCTGTATTGTCGTTATTAAAGTGGAATATAAAACTTTAGAATAAAGATTATTAAAGATTATTGCAGGTGATCCATAACTGAGACAATTTTACCGATTAGCCGAGTTTTCGACCAGGTTGGAATTATAAATTGAGCGACAAAACAGATCTAATAATTTGCAAGCGAAGCTATGAATTTTCTTTGGAAGTATAATATGCATAAATTTATATAAATAAATATGTGACGTGTGTCAATTTTTCCACTTATTTGCCCTGGAAAAAAATCATGTGGAATACTTAGAAGTAGCAATTAGTAGCAATTTATTGGCGTTCAAATGTGAATTACGCAGCCACGTATATAACTTAGCGTTGGATTTGGATATTCTTTGATCTAGCTCATCCACGGTGCCCCCTGCCGGAATAAATTCAAGAGCTCTTCTGCTCGTCTCGATCGCTGGCGCTGCTGAAGGAGCGTGGCTACGTCGGCAACCGTTTCACGCTACACGCTACGGTACACATGCGTTTTGATGTTATCTACTTACAACTGCTGATCGGTGAATGAAAATAATTCATTAATTAATCTGTACCGTCTTTTTGGATGCTAGAGTTTAAAAAGTTTTGTCATTTGGCAACTACCTTACTGTAACACTAAAGTGATAAAAAGATAATCCTACATCACGTAAGTTTCTTTTATTTTACTCTACATTCAGGGGTTATAACTTTGTTTATTTCTCATACAATCCTTTTAAATGAAATCACTATTCTTATCTTTTGATAGTTATCGTACTCTTTCACTCAAAACATACCTCCCATAATAATTTTTTTGATTTAAAAATTTATTTTTATACTTCGAGCAGAAACTCAACTTGCACATGATTTTCTTCTGAATGATAATGATTGCACGTCTTCTCATCACATAAACGAATTTTTTTATGATTTTCTGCAAAATTTATTTGTACAATTTCTTCATCTTATTCTTATAAAAATTAATAAATTATTTTCAATTTTATTGCAGAATGAAAACTAGGGGTCAAAAAAATAAAATAAAAGGGAAAATCAATTCCAAAAATGATAAGAAAAAGAGTCTTCAACCAGTCAAACTGGACTCAGAAAGCATTTCTTCCAATAATAATAGTCTTGAGGAAATCCAAGAGCCTAAAACTGTGCAAGTTAAAATAGAAGAAGTTGCAGAAACTTTTACTTGCAGTAGATGTCATAAAGTGTATAATACAGAATCTGCCTTTCAAAATCATCTCTTTATTAGTCACCCTACATTAGGTACAGAAAAATTTGTTTGTTTTAAATGTGGTGAATCTCATATATCAAAGGATGCCTTAACTTTACATCAAAATGAAGTTCATAATATCATAAAAGCTGAAGTTGAACCTGTCACTACGGATCAAGATGCTAGTCGGAATAAAGTAAAAAAATCTAGATATGATGGGTCAACTCGTATCATGTGTGAAAGATGTGGTAAAATATTTAAGACTAGTAGTGATATTAAAAAGCACATTGAATTTGTTCACAATAAACAAAGAAATTTTCCATGTGATCAGTGTAAAAAAGCATTTACCACAAACTCTAAACGTAATACACACATCAAAGAAGTACATGAATTAAGAAGAGATTTCAAGTGTCGCATGTGTCCAAGCAAATTTGCACGAAAGTTCAATATGAGAAAACACTTTGAACTTGTTCACCAAAATATAAAGAGAATCAAGTGCGAGTATTGCTTAAAAGATTTTTCATTTAATAGTACTATGCATGAACATGTTAGAAGCGTGCATCAAGGCATCAAGCGTCATGAATGTCCAACTTGCGGCAAAAAGTTTAGCCGAAAATCTGATGTAAATAGGCATTTAAGAACAACACATATTCCACTTTGTAAAGAGGCTCATTATGAATGCGATGACTGTGGTAAACTTGTTAAGAGCAAAGGCAAATTAAAAAATCATATACTGGTTGTTCACATGGGGATAAAAGAATATAGTTGTTCAATGTGTGGTAAAAGATTTACTCAAAGTGGAAATCTTCAATATCATCAAAAAGTTGTACATCAAGGTATAAAACCTTACAGTTGCACTCAATGTGATAAATTGTTTGGATCTAGAAGTAATCTAAAAAAACACTATCAAGTAGCTCATGATATGTATCTAACCACAGCTATGCCTTAGATATATTTTTTTTATATTTGTACATAATAATGAATTTATATACAAGAAAGAAATTGTAAAGTGAATTTAATAATGTTATATGAGGTTGCTGAACTAAAGATAAAATAAATGGTAAGTTATGTGCCTAGAGAGCAAAAAGAAAATCTCAGAGCACATCTAATTATGTTTTCTGAGGCTTTCTTTGATGCTTGATAGGTGCATATAATATTTTTCGTGACTCATCCCAGTAGAAAATTTTGAAATTCCAATTTGTGAAGTTTAGCAATCAATTCATTTAGTTTTTAAATATTTTATTAATTGATTGGTTGGTATTTTATTTATTGATATTTCATTGATTAATTGAACTAGAATTTATTTGACGATTTTTAGTAGTTATAATAATTTTAAAGTTTTTAAATAGTAATGAAATATTTTAAATATCAAACCTTACTAATGTTTTTAAAGACTAAAATTTTTCAAATAAAATTAAAAAATAATGTTATTTTGATTTCATTGATCATTTTAATATCCTATAAATTCTATTTTTGCTGAAAATTTTTGAGTTATTCCTACAGCCTCCATAAAGATTTAAACAATATACAGTAATTATTATATATTATGTATATTTTTTGAAATAATAATGTTTAGATTAATACTTTTTATATTTAAGAATTATTATCAATTATCAAAAATGTATATTTTTAGGTAAAAAATAAATTTTTACTGTTTGAAATGATATTTTCTAAGAAATGGCTTTACGACCCGAATCAATTCCTTATTGACAAAATGTGTTTTTTGATTGCTAATTAAAAGATAAAAAAATTTCAAAACAAAAATTCTAAAATGATGATAATGATCAAGATGATTAAAAAATAACGAAAAGTTTTATCGCAGATTGGTGAAAATGATCATAGAGTGATGGTTTACCTTAGTAGCTTGTAATTATATGTTGAAATATTTATTATAAAAGTTTTTGGTGAGTTCCATTTGAAATATTTTATTAATTCAAAATAATCGAGTACAAAGATAAACTAAAAAAATGAGTAAAATATTATTTATTTTCAAATAGATAAAAATCCTTAAATTATAGGGTTTTTTTAAGTACTTTGAAACAATTGCTGTAAATGGTAAAATATACTTTTGAAAGGTGTTCTCATGCTATTGTGCTCCAAAATTCTATCACAGTCGTTTTTTAAATAGTTTTCGTGCTTTTTAATTAAAGTCATCCAATCAAAGAGTAAAAGCTTTACTTATACCGGATTCTCCAGAAAAATACGTCTCACAATTTATATTATGCACGAATGTTCAAGGAACTGAGTAAAAATCTCGGTGATTTGTTTGAACAAGCCTAAATGCATCCATCAACAGTTGTACTGTAATTATAATTATTGTATTATTTATATATTTACATATTTAAAATTACTCGCATATTCTTGAACACATACAATCGAATGACTATTAAACAGTACGCTTCAAATCAACTTATAAGAATCTATACATATGATGTAAAATCAGTCACATACAACATCTGCTGTCTTTATAATACGTCTGAGAAAAATACTCTTGCGAAGAAGATGACATTTGAGTATGTTTTTATCTGTAGCACCATTTGTATAAAATATATTCGTATGCGCTTGCATAATAGGATAAAACGAATCATCGAACAAAAGCCACAGTCGGCCAAACCGTTCTAGTCAAGCTCGCCGCTAAGCACAGCGACGTCCTTGCGAAGCGTCGAGCGTCTCTTTCTTTTACTGTCACTGTGTGGAGTACTGCTCACGGGCTCACTGGTCACTTCCATGCACAAGAGTGCAAATTTTCTGTCGCACGAGTGGCGTTGCTGCTCGAGGATTCTGTTGTTCGCCAGCGGCGATGCAAAGCTGTACCTGTCGCTGCTCTGCGAGAACCAAGCCTCGCAGTAAGTGTCCATTATCGGCTGGTCGGGCGAGTGCCAGCCGTGCCAGATGAATTTTTCTGGCCTGTTGAAAAATCAAGTCGCACACGACTTTACTACTCATTCACCGATGCGAATGCAATAAACGTACTCACCAGGTGCTGTCTGTCATGATATTCTTGCCATTGAAACTGTAGAGGATGGGAGTTTTCGTCGCAAAAGTTCCTAATTTCCCAGTAAAAATGTCTCTCCAGGAGTCGAATAAGACCTCGCCCTTAAAACATTACTATTAAAAACTGCACAAGTGGTTAGAAAGTGGGATTTTACCGTAAGTCTGACTTACTTTGATATTAACTATGGGTAAATCTCGATCGCTGACTCTGACAATGCTGTCGACGTTCTGCACTCTGGAACTGAGGAAAGCTCGAAATGAGCCACGGAAACCGGAGCGCCGGGCTTGTCGGTTACAGGTGTGATCGGCGCCTCTGATGCCGTGCATATCGCCGCTGTAGGGCTCGTTCAAAGCCGCCACTCTTAGCTGCAATTTACGAGAAATAATGAAAAATCACTCGAAAGTTGCTGTGGCACGATTGACCCGTCTTAGCGCGTACGACGTGACTTACACTAGTGCCATTATTAGCTAGTTCCGATGGCGTCGATGGCTTCTGATTCATCAGATTAGAAGCCTCGAAAGGTGTAGTGATCGACGGTGGTACGATTATCGCTGGAGAAGGAGATGCTGCCGTATCCGTGTGACTGCTCTTTACCATTGCCGTTGTTTGACTGAGCTGCAATATTTTTTTTTCATTCACCCCCCATTGATAGGGATCAATACATTGAGCGAACAAATATTGCAGCGACATATTATTTTAATTATTATGTAACGTGAATGTGTGAAAATTGATGCGACATTTACCGAAATAAACCTCCAACCGTTGTCGACTCTCACTAATAGGGCTTGCTCGTTAATTATGTAAGCGATGCTTCCTACGGGGCACGTACCTGACATCTGATACAATTAAGAATTGATTTAATTTTCAACGTTGCACTTGATATTCATTATAAATCCAAATGCATTACGCTTAATGCATTATGACAATTTTCTTTTTAAACGTTTTGAAGCGTACCGTTTTCATGTCGTCGGTGCTTTGAAATATAACAGTGCCAGGAACTACTTTCATCGGGACATTATACGTCGGAGCTTTTGACGCACTGCTCTCTATAACAGCGCAACAATACCAATTTTAGCATTTCTTTGAAAAAAATGCGAAAATCTCCGAAAGTGTAATGTAACATACCCAGCTGTTTCTTGAGTTCCTTCAGCTGCTTGAGCTCGTGGAGTATATTCAATTCATTTAAGCTACTTCTCATAAAATCTGAAATATTAGTGCAATAATGATTAATTAGGCAATAACACCACAAAATTCATTTGTTTGAGGGACTAGTCCGATCATTCCCGTGAAAAAAATAATTGCAAATAAATCAAGCTTTCTGTTGTTCTATAAAGCCGCATTTAGTTTTTTTACGACTTGACCTCCCATACTCAACGCGCGTAAAGAAGTTTCTCTTCAAAAACTTTGTAAACTTCAGATCCCGGATTCGGTTTCAAAGTGTCAATGTACATAGCAACGATTTGTATAATAATAATTGCGTTTGACCAATTTTTTTATTGTGGATTTCGCGATTGTCACCAATTTATTACTAATGTAAAATAAATTATGTAGCTCAATGCTTGTTCCGAATAAAAAACGAAATATTTCAAAATATATATATTTTTGTGCGCATGTGTTATTATTTTATGAACAAATGAATCGAACGGAAATAGATGGTCTCGCTCTATGTGGCGTAGAGCTTACTATGATCGGTCCCCGTAAGTCCAGGTGGGCCGGGTGGGCCTGGGGGTCCCGGTGGTCCAGCCACGGGTATGTAGGTGCCTAAGAGCGTAGGTCCCGGTGGACCCGGTGGACCATTGCTGCCCGGTTGTCCCGGAATACCAGGCAAGCCTTTTTCTCCCTTCTCGCCTTTCTCGCCTCGTTCGCCTTTCTGCAACAAACCGAGCCAAGCGTGACGCGGGTCAGTAGTGATGCTCAATATTCCACGAGACGTGTACGCTCAATTCGCTTGTATACTTGACTAACCATTTTGCTCAAAGCGATGTTGGCCGGGATCGAACTGGGCACACCCGGTGGACCCACGGGCCCGGGTGGTCCGGCTTTTCCTCTTCGGCCGCGTTTTCCCTTCGATCCTTTCTCGCCCTTCAAGCTCGCGCAAAAATCCTCGGGAAGGACGCCGGGGGGGCCTCGCTCGCCTCGTTCACCTTTGGGCCCGATTTTACCAGGCGTTCCCGGTACTCCGTCCTTTCCTGTGTTGTTGTTGTTCATATTTATATTCATTAAATTTTGTGTCCACGCATGAGTCGCCAGGCAAGCCGAGCTCGATGAAAATATTCGCTGCTTAATAAGCATGACGATGATATAAGCTCATACCTGGCTCTCCTTTGTCGCCTTTGAGGCCTTGCGAGCCTTTCATGTGAGGAATGCCAGGTTGGCCCGCACCGCCCTTATCTGCCTTTGCTCCCTTGGGAATGCCCAGTGTCCCTGGACTCTTGTAGTTGCGATCGACGGGCTCGCCTTTCAATACGCTCCAGCTAGCTGTGCCCGATGCATACTCTGCAATTTGATCGTTAACGAACTTCATTCGCATATAATACGAGTGGCAATTGCTCGATTCATCGGCGCGTTAACTCACTATCGTAACCGTTACTGATACTGTCGAGAAAATAAGTCTTACCAGCGACTCTCGCCGCGTTGCTTTTATCACCTTTGCTCTGGCTGCCCGTGGACTGGAGAACTCGCAACGCGTCGCCACTTTCAGGCTCGGTTTTTGCCTCGTTGTATTTCACGGATGGCCATGCTACATTTTCGTTTCTGTGCACTGCTTGCTTGGCACCTAATTAAATAGAAAAATCCTTCTTCTGAACTGACTAACCACTGGCGAATGATTCTCTCTTTTTCATCGTTATAAATTAATATTAATCGTTATTATACCTTTTAGATGTATTTCTCTGGAACTTTCACCGACAGCATTTTCATCTATTACATCCGATGGCACAGTAAATTCTTTATTCTGCACAAGTATCGAGTAATTAAATTAATTGACTATTATGGAAAAATTGTTTACAGCTTTTTAACTTAAAAATTGCAACTTTGTCACTACTTTTAAGCTCTTGCGCTATAATAGTACATTATGCTCTAGTATCATAATTTACTAGTATGCAACATGTGCAGATGAGCTATTTCTGCAAACGAGGGGTTACACAATAAGCTGTAGCTCATTTTGACGAAAAATCGTATCCACGCCCGTTGCATGCAGTACTATATATGGCATTTCGTGGAAAAAAGTTACTTATTATTATAATTTCTATAACTTTTATTTAATTCTTGAATTATCGAAGTGGAACTAGATAAATTGCAATGAAATAAAACTACAATCAGATAAAGGTTTGTCAAAAAGTTTAATAAGAAAAACTAGTAATCAAACGTATTGATAGTATAGAGTCTTCACGGTGTAATTGATAAATTGACGTCGCTGCATTAAACAATTCACGACTGCATCTTTTAACATGTTTGATAGTTAGTTTTTTTATATATTATTTTATATTATTTTTATAAAACCTTAATCTTCCCAAAATTCTTTTTTTATTTATTAGACAAAAATTGAAGGTATCAATTTCAATTGTTTTAACAGATACGTGCAGTTTAAATTGCGACGTGGCCATTTACTTATATAGCAAAAAAATTAAAAGTTGGTTGAGTATTATTGAATCGTCGACACTCAAATTTAATTTGCCATCAGAGTGTGTTAAATCACCACCTTGAAATACCGGAGCGCAAAATTACACACTATACGTGTGAACGAGTACGTAGCTTGCAAAAAAGAGAGATGATCTCGTCTATAGCTGGGCATATTAGGAACGCTTTCATTAAGGCGCTTATCTAAGAAACTATTGTAAACTTATAATAACGCATTAAACGAGGCGGGTAGCTGGAGCTTTTCAGGCTTAGTAGTAGGAGGTTTGGAACGTTAACGCGTACCAGCACACATACCTACATGTACACTATAACAAATGTGTAGACAACGCAGTGAACATACTATTACGATAATCTTTGCTGATGGTCTGCGAAAATGGATTAATATTTAAATAAAATATATCTCGCTGAAACGTATATAATAATCTAGCCAATCAGTGGGATTTATATAAATTCGACGTCGTTCGTTTACTTTTCGCGCGAGCGTAATAACAAAATGCGTGTGTTTTGCTGCACGGAAGGAATTTTTGCGGCTTTCTCTAGCGAAAACACACCTAAGCCAGGCGGAGCGTCTCAAAAGAAAATTCAGCTTTCTCGATAAATCAAGCGAGGCGGCGCGATAATCAGCTCTCGCTGCTGAAAAATCCATATGGTTTTCGCTCGAGCGAGCTCGACGACGACGAAAATTGACAATGGAGCGCGAGAGAGCGCCGGGAGGGATCGGCCGCTCTATAGTTAGGTAGCTTGAGCTGCCGTACCGCCTACACGTACATACGATTATTCGCTCTTTTTCTCGCTTTTCCTCGACATCAACAAACATATATTTAGCGAAGAATAGAGAAAAAAAAGAGAAGGAAAAAGTTTCAGAGGCGCGCAAAGAAGGTTTTAATTAACGATTGGACGCCACCACCGATTCCCCATATACGTATATAAAGTTGGCTGCTGCAAGCTCTGCTAGGTTTGCGCTACTCGCGGAAATTAATCGATTTTCTTTTTTTGCCTTCCTTGCAAGCCGTATACGTGTGCGACTGGATCCGGCGCGCCGTGTGCATAATCGCCACTTCGTTTGCTCGTTATTTAATTAAAGACGCGTGATATTTTATTACTTTCCTGCTTGATACAGGCATGAATTATTATATCGTGTATCCGCAAGCTCTTTGCTGTACGATGCTTCAATCAATATATGTATTCGGGTAAAATTTGATGCTCGAGATTGTAGCTATGCGCTCTTTTCTTCTCTTTTTGTCTTTTTCTTTTCGTTGTCTTTTTTGTTTCTTTCATCAATGATATAAAGTGCAAAAGTTTTTATTCGCTGTTTCGATTTGCCATTTTCGTTGAGCAAGTTTATATTCGGCGAAGGTGAGCACCAAATCGTATTTTACTCTATCTCTCTATAGCAATTCTTATATATGAATGCGCGCGCGAGCCGAGCGACCTTTTTCAGGCGTGAATAAAACCAACCGCAGCCCGAACGCCGCGGCCGTATTATACGCACACAAGATCCCGAGGGAAAACTTTGCTCTCCAGTTATTTCGCGCAAAGATGCACGTAAACAAATGACATTTCAATGTCTTGGCTTTCTCGCGCTTCGCGGCCCCTCCCTTGTATTATACTGAAATATATAGTAATGATGACACTAGTAATCATTTCCGTAGATTATTATTTGCGCTGTGAATCTGTGTGTGTATATGTGCGTGTATATACGCGCGCATGTGTGAGACATAGCACGATACATCCACTATAACGCGTGTCATATTTTTCTTCAACTTTTTGACCTCATTTGGCCCGTTTGAGAAAGTTTTTTATTATATTATTCTTGAAGCTTCGCAAAAGTACAGATCATTCGGGCGAGCATGGGTTATTGACACACAATGCTTAAGATATATACCATACTCTGGACGAGCTGTGAATATCATTATTATACATATATAAGAATCGGCCGTATACATGCACGGCTACACGATGCTATTAGTATGTCAGAAAAACTTTTTTACCCCAGCAAGATGTCAAAATGTACTTGAACTTTTTTACCCCTCTCCGCTCTCGCATCCCACGAGCTTTTAATGCATGTTTTTACAAGTATACACTTCGTTCATCTATTTGATTCCTGATCTAATAATTGTAAAAACTGCAAAGTCTAAAAAAGTAGAAAAAAATCTCCTGGATTCTGGTTAGGGCGATGAGCTAATCATGTAATATAGGTCATAATGAACACAGCAAAAAGCCTATACAGACCGTCAACGCTGGTAAAAGTTTTCATATTGAATTATGTTTTTGGTATTCATGAAAATTATCAATAAAACTGATCGGTAAATATTCATTGACAGTTGAAGAAAAAAGTTGAATTTTTCAAAATTAAAAAAAATATATATTCACTGAGATACAGCCTTTTAAGAATATTTTCTATGTTAAATTAATTTTAATTTTTTGTTTTTTTCTTGTTTTAAAAAAATGCCTCTTACTTGTCGATATTTTTAGAGCAAACCATTTGACTCAAAACACGCCCAAAACATCGATGGTGACGATCGCAACCACTTTTGATAGACCCAGTGCAGTTTTATAATAGAGATCACAATCGATGATATGAAATAAATTATGCTCAAGTGTTTGTGCACTATCACTTCAAAAGTGATTGCAGCCCGTAATTATTGATGTTTGCAAAAAAAAAAAAAAAAAAAATACGTAACCTGGTCACTCACTACAAGCCAAATAGTTCGCTTTGAATCTTAAAGAAAGGCAAACAAAAACATGGTTACACATCCAATAACATTTTTTCAATTTTGAGGTATCTTTGAGCCCCGTTCTAAGAAAATAGAACTAACAACAGCAACAGTAACGTGTCAGGTGAACTTTAGTTATGAGATTCGTCTGCGATGATTTTAATTAAGTTGGAATGGATTTTTCACTCGTAAGCGCGACGCGTGTGTCTGCCTTTGCGAGAGTCGAGTTGCTTATTTTTTTTATTAAAAATACATATTTTGCCATCGGTAAGCCAAGAGCAAACAGAAAAGCGATTGATAAATATTTCAAAAATGTTTTCCTTGACTCATACGCTGCCAGCTCCTTTTTCTGTAGTACTCGGCGCGCGTCTACATACGAGCTACCTACGTATATATTCCAATGGTATATGTATAACGAGTATACATATGTATAGAGAGAAAATGGAAAAGTAACTTTGCAGTTACAGGCTGCATGCCATCGCTAGAAACATGTACACGTGCTGCTGCGCTTGGAAAAGCGAAAGAGAAAGAGGGAGAGAGAAAGAGAAGGAAAGCTATCACTGCTTCCGTATTCCATCGGAACTAAACTTGCCCGCGTGTGTTAGCATGAATCCGTGTACATTGTATAGATATATATAATGCTAAACCGTTTTATCCATTGCAAAACTCAACCTTTCGTTCTCTAGCAGATTCTCTCTCTTTCGCTTTCTCTTAGTCAGAGTAGAGCTTTGCGCTGCTTGCCAAAGAGAACACGAGCCTGTCTATGTATTATATGAAAACAGGCGGATCCGTCCCCGAGCGCAACATAAGGTGTTGTATTTGCTAGTGGTCTGCTGCTCTACTGCAGCTCTTCGACAGCCCATGGATATCATTTTGCAAGAGTCCTCCCTGTAAAAGTCGTTCTTACAAAACTTTGATTAGTACACCACGCCAAAAAAGGTCAAACGATAATAAAATTATTTCTGAAAATATATTTGTCATGTGTGCATTCCCTTCGAGAGATGTCCAACTTTAATCGGGATTTAGTTTAATCCTGTACGTAACGAGCAACAGGTTTTTATACGTATTTAAAATTTTACGTATTTATTTTTCGTAATTCGTGTGCTTTGACATGATTCATAGATCTTGATCGGACGCTTCGAATGTTTATGTGCGAAAAATTGATAGCAAGTAAAAAATAGATAATCTTTTTCAGTATTTGTCGCGAAGAAATTTCTATTTCAAAATATGTCGTACGATGAAAAGATTTATAAATAATTTTCGATAAATTTTAATTATCATTTTTACAATTTTTTTTTATAGTCACAATTTTTAAGTAGCTTCAATTTTTTCTGGAAAAATTAATTCATGAGATTTGCATAAAAATTTCATAATAATTAACTTTTATTCAGAAAATTTTTTGCCAAGGTGAGATTATGTTTGAAAATGATATTTTTTTCGCGGCTTATTCTAAAATGGTTTTCTCTTCGTGGCATATCTGAAATTAAATTTTTATCGCGACATATTCTGATTTGGCATTTGCTTTGTGGCTAATGCCGTAATACGGTGTTATATATTTTCGGAGACACATTATTGATTAAAACATAAATAATGATAG